CAATGTTAAATGCTGATAAAATATATAATACGATAATTTCTGTTTCTCTCATAATTATAGAATTTAAAGAACATACCAAATTACCAATCAAACCAATCAAAATTTCCACTCCTTGGCTAATTTCAGAGAATGCCGAATCCAAAATCCATGAACCCAACACTGTCATCTAATTTCAATAATGATGTTCTAGTACTCCTTCAAAATGCACCAGTTGGTATATCCGTCTCTCTCTCTCTCTCTCTCTCTAAGAATAATTGTTTAACAGTAATCATAATAACAGGCTAAAAGCCTTGTGAACTATGTTATCAAGGAGAAAAAATGTCAATGAGAAATGAAGATAGAGGACCTTTACTGGTGTACTCGAGAAATTGAGAATCATTAGTTGCAAATGGCCTCCGATCAGATCACCTTCAAAATTCTCAGGTGCTACAGCTACCCCGAGGATAGTTGTTTTGTCCAACACAACTCTGCAAGAATAGTCATTCTTCAATTTTAAGCAGGATTGGAAACAAAGTAGTGTATTAAAGCATTAAGATAAGGTTAGTTGGCCAAAAGTTTTTAGCTTCGTGTGTAATTAACCGGTTTGGCAATTACCTTAAAGTAAGCATAGGCCAGAAGTAAACATGTTTATTACCTCCCCACAGCTACTTAAACATTTCTTCTCATTACATGTCCCAATATAGTTACACTCGCCACAACTTCCAGTTCAGGCCTAAACTCTTGCCATTTACACATACTTCAACTTTGCCATGATGCTCATATCTAGAGCTGATGGTAAACCTTACTGCATAAAGAGCACAGTAGCTCCCGTTTACCTACAATAGATGAAAACCATTTGAAAAAAATACATAAGCCTTTGGTTATAGCTTTTACTTACTGTTTCTGATGAGCTACAAAACACAGCCAACAAAAGAAAATCAAACAAATACCAAAAGAAGATTAAGCGCAATATTCCAATTATAACCATTTTTTTATTTTTGTATAAACACAAATATATTAAGCTCTCAATCATTTAAAATGGAAGAGATATGTGAAGGCAGTCAACGAACTGAAAAATATCAATGTTTCAAACTAATGTCTGGCACAAAATTGTTGCACTTGAACTACCCTAATAACACATCATGGAAATCCTCCCTTGATTATCTGAAACGATATGGTAACGTTGAAAATGTATTGCATCCTCTTAAATTGAAAGTGCAAACAATGAAGAATGCACATGAACAACACACAATTTCTTACCAATCAAAGGATTCACAACCATCTGCTCTGTGTTTATGATTTTTCTTGTTCAATCTCTGGTCTGGCTTGTTTGGGAATGACCATCTTTTTTCGTGGTCATCGTGTTGTTGAATTGGTGCATATTCTTTTTGCTTTGCCCAAGATATCTCTTGCTATATATTACGAATAAGAATCAGTAAAAATTCAATATAAAAATCTAAATTTGTCAATCTATGTAACTCAGTGCAAACTTCATCAAACAACCAAGAAGTATAAACCAGCAAGGTTATTTTCTCTTCTTTTTTTTATCAAAATGAATTCTACTGTTCCCATCTATTTGCATATCCCTTTAAATTGTCCAAAAACACAAAAGAAATATATCTTGATCCATACCAATTAATGATTTCCCATTTACTTAAGTCAGATGTCAAGGGAAATGAACTGATGGAGCTAAAAAAGAGAGAGAGAGAGAGAGAGAAAAAAAAACAGTATTATTCAATTATATGGAGAATTACCTGATTGTACAAAAGGGTTGAAAATTACCCTTAAAAAAAAAAAAAAAAGGAAGAGATGGAGTGGAAATCACATACCAGCATTAGGCTTAAACTTGTAGTGCTCATTTGAGAGAGCAGTGATAGTGCTGATGAGAGTGTAGGGAGAGAAGCAAAATGCAAATCGTAAGAGTTTGAGAGAAACCGCTTGAGGGACACTGCAAATTGATCGTTGAGATTTGAGAAACCGAGGAAGCTACAATTTGAGACGAACTTCATGTCCCACAGATAATAAGAACAGCGAATCATTTTCATCTCATGCACTGGTTTGTCATTGTCATTCGAATTCACAAATCCATTTACTCTGAATTTCTTAGTTATCACCAAGGAAAGAATGTTATAAGCAAAAATCTATTTCTAGGTTTCCCACTAAACTACTGTTAAACCATGGTAAATCAAAATGGGAAAAAATTATAAATACCTTTGTCAAACCTCTTGGGATTCAAGTCCACCGACTCCACCCCAATACTTAGTGGCGCCCCAGAAATCTTGCACCTTCAATAGCCAAGATCATGCATGTATCAATATGAATACGGAAGAGAAAATAAATGCAATTTATTAGAACAAAGAATTTGGGATCAACAAAGTTTGTCCAAACTTACTGCAAGGCCAATAACAGCAACTGAAGATAATTTTTTGTTTTGCTACATGAGAGGGGCACCCAAAAATCCAAACCTGTCGATACGGCACAACTGAGGATGCAAACTTTATCCAATTGAGCAAGGGGCTTGATCTTGGAAAGACGGCCAGAATGAATAACAATGTACTCACTTAAGTAAATGTGCCAAGACAGTGATTGGTGAACGTTATTTCCCAGCTGGTTTAGTTTGGCTATTGCTTTCTATTGAAAAGGAGTCAGCTATTTGCGTGAGTCACCACCTTTTGCTGCATGGCGAAAAATTTGAGGGATCAATAGTGTCTGGGCCTGAATCCCAAAAGGAAAAAATAACTCAACTAAGTATATATAAAATTAAACATATAAAGGGTAAGATCAACCACATCCCATAGGAGAACAATTAAATGCCACTCTCTCAGTCTCGAGTACAACTGCACTTTGTGATTAAAATTCACACATGTTTCACATATGCTAAGAACTAATGTTCCTGTAGGTTTTTCATCACGAACGAAATTTGCACTCTACTTTTCGATTTCAAACCTTAAAAAAATCACTTAAGCATCTGAATTGGATTCCCAACAATTTGGTGGAGGTTGAATGGATTTTTACTCCCATTATACCCTCGGAAATATAAATAATCATTGGAGACCGAGCAGCACACACTCATAAATAAAAGATTAGGAAACTTTGGTTCAGGATAAACATAATGCATACAAAACAATAAAATTGATAGAAAACAGATCGATGCACAGAGAGATAGAGGCATAAAGAGAGAACTTACATCAGCTGTGCTCTCAAATACATATGGTAATTTGCATACGAAGAAACATAATACCGAAACAGTTATAAATCATCCTATTCAAACAAATCAAACGAAATGTATAAAGATTACCTTAATTTCTGATTCTATGATTTTGCATTTGACTCCACCTCCACGTTGTTTTTTGGTTGTCTCTTTTCATGAATTAAGTAATCGACTGAATTACTTAATTCAACTGATTTTAATCAAAGAGATGAAAGCTTCAGTATAAAAAATATTTTATGACCTACACGCATAGCAAATCATCAGTAAACTCCAAGAACCTAATTGTACAATAAACACTCTAGCATTAACTACCCATGAATGATGAACATGCTTATTGCCAAAAATGATAAACATGTTTAACTTGACTTCATTTTTAATGGCATATTTAATAAACTTTCCATCTGCATTCCCTTTCCTCGTTCAAGTTGAAAGGTTCTGTTTGAATCCCATCCGCAACAAAGTCCTTGTAATCCTGCCAAAAGATACCCCCAATCACTGGTTATCGCTTCCATTGATCCAATTAGCAGAAGTATCCAACAATCTCCTTGACTGGAAAAATTCTTGCCAATCTAGAAAAGAACTATTCCAAATTACGGATGTACTCGATTAATTTAACCAAGAACATGCACAGCACCACCACTATTAAGAAGCATCAACATACAAAGACAAAAGTTTCTACAATCAGTTGTTAAATTGCTACCAAAAACATGCATAGAAAGAATAAAAATGACCACAAAGATGGCAAAACAATTAACCACACATGTTGTTTATATGCCCAATGAGAGGGAAAAGCTTCTGCAAATTGAAAAAACGAATTTATATAAAACAGACATGTCACTTTAGTCTAAGCTCACACACTATCTGAAAGAGCCTATTTTATCCATTCCAATTATACTTCTGTGGAGCATGTCCCTATACTATTCCCCACCAGCAATCAATCATAAACGCCATCTACATTAACTAGCTCACACTTCATATTAATGACACCTAACTGCCACCAAAATAAAAGACATGATGAAGAGCACACAAATTAGAGACTTTGTTAAAAACAACCTTGTGTACTAAGTAGAACTTGAACTCACCTGATATGGCAACCTCTAATGCAAGGTAGAGAGTAGAAAAGCTAACGCATTGACAAACAGAAAACCAACAATTTAACTTGTGTTGCAAATAAATATTAGTAAAGTTATAGAACTCACTGGTAGTTTATTTGAAATGTTAGGAGTATCTAGTGTATGCACAGGGTAGACGGTTCTTACAAAACTCAGGGCTTGAAAATAAAATAAAATAAAAATTGAAAAGAAATCAAAACTACTAAAAATTCCAACATTTATTGATGACTATTTTAGTAAAAGGATCAAACAATCATGCCATCAAACAAATTTAAGGGGAAAAAAAAAGTGAACTAAATTTAAGTTGAATAGAGTGACAGTTGCTTACCCAGAAACCCAAACCAAATCCCCAAAAATTCACGCAGAAATCACCAAAGCTGAAAACCAAAGCTCCACTGGGATCATCCACACAACAATGAACACCGATCATCACCACCGATATCCATCTCCTTTTAAAGACAAAACCCTTTTAAATTCGCAACCCGAGAACCAAAACCCCCAAAGAAAATCTCAGGGATGGGTGAGAATTCCCGAGAAAAATTCAAACTTTTTCGGCAAAGATGGTGTTTTTTCCCTGGAAAATAAAAACAGAGAAAAAAAAAGGAAAATAATCAATCTTTAGGTTTGAAATAGAAAGAGAGTTGAGCTGTTGAAATAAATGTGTTAGGATGCAAGTGGCATTACTTAGTTAGTCAGGTGTCAATTATTGAGTTGGATTTTTTTAGCCTGCAACTAGCTATATAAGTTGAGATATGTGCAGATGCAAAGGGTGAATGAATATTTGATTGTATTAGTGTTCTTGTTAGTATATCTTGCATTTGAGTAAAGGTTGAAGTGGGGTTCTATCATTGGTATCAAGCCAGTCTTGATTCCTCAATCCCTTCTCTTTTGCCGATTGAATCGTGCGTCAACGAAGGAAGCCATGGAATTTCATAACCATCTTGCTGCGATTAATGACACTCTCAATGTGCTAATTTAGCGATTTGACGCCATGGAAGCTCGTCAAGATTCTTCTGATGCTCGATTCGAGAAACTATACCATGATTTTGTGGCCAAATGCGATAGGGGTTCACATCCGCTGTTCATCAAAATGGCATCTCCTATCTCTTTTGAGAAATCGAACCAAGTCGTTCTCAAGCTTCAATCCTTCCATGAGGAAAAAAATTCATGCCAAAGAGAGAGTGAATCAACTCTCTCAATTTCATCAAAGTTACAAGCCCAAGACTCGTCCTTGTTTACGACCCATATTGAAGAGATTCAAGAAAGTTCGCGACTACGACAAACACGACGACGATGGTTCTGCAATATTTTGTTCCAATTCCAAATTTGAAGAAAGTTGTGGGTTTTTTTGGAAAGCTTTGGTTGTGGAGGACGAAGAGGTTTTCAATTTGTTCGACAGGGAAGCTAAAGATTATGTGAAAATTCCTCCATTTCTTGATTCTAATCGCAAGGCAGGCACCGCAAAGGAGTTGGTTTCTTTATTCAACAAGAAAGTTGAAGATTATGTAATAGCTTCTCCAGTTCTTGATTCAAATTGCAGGAAATCCAAGGTTCAAGCTTATGTTCTGGGTTCTACATTTCGTAATGGCTTGGCTACTTCTTTTGGACATAAATTCATTCAGTTTGGGATGGCGCCTTCATCTATTCGTGAATCTAGTTGCAAGAACGACGTGGTCCAGGATTTCATTTTCACAATTCCTGTTTCTGATGATAGGTTCGTGAAAATTGATTCACCTACATTCCAGGTGTTTGATGAAGGTCACAATCAATAGATTGTGATTTTCAGTTGGGCTATCATATGCCGATTTCTGACACTAGAGGAAAAGTTGATACCATTTTGGTGCAAGATGATGCTTCTACTGGTGTTGTACTTATTCTTCAATTCCACTACCATAAAGGAATTCATGATAAAGGTGGTGGTTTGGCAAAAGACAAGATTTGGAAGGACCATTCGAGAATATTCAGGTACAAGATTAGTACAATCCTCATATCTTCTTGTACAAAACAATCTGAAAATGCTACTGCATATAACAAAGATGGAACTATTTGTCTCTCTTAATTCAACTCAATGGATTTTCTGGCAATTTATGAGTTGGGTTTTGTTCTTAATGCGAAAAAGAGGAATTTTTTGGAGGAAGCTAACCCCTTTATTGTACCTGCTGAGAAAACTCGTCTTGCTCTCAACGTGTTTGATGAAATTCCTGACTCAAATCATCTTGTTGTTGTCAATTTTGACATGTGCTATTGCAAGGGTATTCGAGATAAGGGTGGAGGCTCAAAATTCAGGTATATGGTTACTCTGAATATTCATTTTTCTTGTATGAATGCATCTGGAGATTCTATTGAATGTAGCCGAGATGGAATATTTGAGGTTGTAGGTATTAGAGTTTGTGTTTTATGTGTTTTTCAATGGAGATCTCTATGTTGGAGGTTGAAGAACAAAACAGAGAAATGAGAGAGAAGAAGATTGAATGTGTCTCTTCGATTGCACTCTATATCCAAAAATACATTTGTAACCGTTATGTATGTAGAGGAAGGGAGATCCTTCACTCACCATACATTGCTATCATCCTATGAGATGATGCCACTTGTCTTGTTATATCACTTAGATCCTATGCTAGAGAAGAGACCACTTGGACTATGATCCAATGGCTCAGATTACATCAGCAAGATAAAGCACATAAAAGGAAAATCAAAATTTGTAACTTTAGCTCCAAGATATTAGCTCAAGGGTTATATATCAACACTCCCTTCTAACCCTTTAGCTGATTTCACACCAAGTAGATCTCTTAGGTAGACAAATCGATCTTTTGACAGAGCCTTGGTCAATATATCTGCAGTCTGGTCTTCTGTTTTGCAGTAGACAAGTTCAATCTCCTTTGTTTGGATAGCTTCCCTGATAAAATGAAATTTCCTAATGATGTGCCTAGTTCTCTGGTGTAGAACTGGATTCTTTGCCATTGCTATGGCTGAAGTGTTGTCGCACAGAATTGGTGTGCCTTCCACTTGCTCCTCACCAAAATCTTCAAGCACAAACCTTAGCCATTTAGCATGTGATGTTGCTTCTGCAGCACTGACATATTTTGCTTCTGCAGTGGACAATGCCACCGTGTTTTGTTTGATTGATGCCCATGAAAACATACCGAATCCAAGTGTAAATGCATATCCTGAGGTGCTTCTCATGTCATCCTCACTTCCTGCCCAGTCACTGTCACAGTACCCTATCAGAGTAGTTGTCTTCCCTTTTACAAATTCAATTCCAAAATCAAGAGTGCCCTGAATATATCTCAACACCCTTTTGGCTGTTCCCATGTGTTTCTTTATAGGGTTATGCATGAATCTAGCAAGAAAACTAGAAGCAAACATTATATCCGGCCTTGTAGCAGTCAAGTATAACAAGCTACCTACAACTTGTCTATATTCACTTTCATTTGCTGCTTCACTACCATCTGTCTTGCATAACTTCTCATTCACAGCCAGTGGTGTTGTCACTGATTTGCAATCTTTCATCCCAAATTTCTCAATAAGCTTCATTGCATATTTTCTCTGGTGGATACAAATGTTTTTATCTGTTTGCACTACTCCCATGCCAAGAAAATGATGAAGTAACCCCAGATCAGTCATCTCATAATGCTCATTTTTGAACTCTTCGAGTAGTTTTGGACAACTTCCAGTATATACAATATCGTCCACATAGAGTGAAACAATAATGATACCTGTAGCTTCACTAGTTTTGACATAAAGTGTTGCTTCACTAGAACTCTTCTTGAAACCTGCCTTGCCGAAATAGGAATCTATCTCATCATACCAAGCTCTCGGAGCTTGCTTCAACCCATACAGAGCCTTATTCAACTTATACACCTTGGTTTCTTCACTCTCCTTCACAAAACCTTGTGGCTGCTCAACATAAACCTCCTCCTTCAAAGTTCCATTCAGAAAAGCAGATTTTACATCCAACTGATATAGATTCCATTCCTTCTGTGCAGCAAGTGCTATCAAGGTCCTAATAGTATCTAATCTTGCAACCGAGGCGAATGTTTCATTGTAGTCTATCCCAGGCTTTTGGGAATAACCTTTTGCCACCAGTCTGGCCTTGTTTTTCTGCACGGATCCATCAAGGTTCAACTTGGTTTTATAGACCCACTTAACACCAATGATTGGCTTGTTAAATGGTCTATCAACTAGCTCCCATGTGTTGTTCTTCTCAATCATTTCAAGCTCAGATTTCATTGCATTTTCCCATGACTCATCTAGAATAGCATCTTCATAGTTTTCAGGTTCTACAATGCACATGTTACACTGAGCCATGATCTCATTTACACTTTTCCATTTCTGTGGTGTGTGATCAGTTGTTTGAGAACTTTCGAAAACATTCTCACAGTGATGCAACAACATCCTCCACTTGAGTTGATGTATCCAAGAATTGTCTTGGTTCACATACTTCCACTTGATTCTGTCCTTCACTACAATCTGCCATTTGATTCTCAATAATCATGGGAACTTGTATTTCACTCTTATCAGTGTTCTCCCACTCCCATGAAGCATTCTCATCAAAGTGTACATCTCTAGACAGGATGATCTTATTAGAACTTGGATCAAACACTCTGTACCCTTTTTCACAGATTCCATAGCCTACAAAAATACACTTGCGACTATTTTCTTCAAGCTTATGCCTTAGTGTTGAGGGAATGTGCACATAGCATAGTGACCCAAAGATCTTCAAGTGTGCAATGCCTGGTTTTCTACCAGTGTATGCTTCAAATGGAGTTATCTTCTTGAGGGACTTTGAGGGACATCTATTAAGTATGTAGACTGCAGTGTTCACAACCTCTGCCCAAAATGCATAAGAAAGACCATTTTCATGCATCATAGACTTTGCCATTTCCACCACAGTCCTATTCTTCCTCTCAGCTACTCCATTCTGTTGAGGAGAATATGCCATGGTTAATTGCCTTTGAATTCCAAGCTCATTGCAGTAACTATCAAATTCAGTTGATAAGAACTCTCCACCCCGATCACTCCTTAGACATTTCACCTTATATCCACACTGCAACTCTGTCATTGCTTTAAACTTCTTGAAACAATCAAATGCACTTGACTTGTTTATGAGAAAATATACCCAAGACATCCTAGTACAATCATCAGTGAACAACAGAAAGTACTTATTTCCAGAGATAGATTCAGTTTGCATTGGTCCACAGATATCTGTGTGAACCAATTCCAAAGGAAATTTTGCTCTCCAAGCTGATTTTGATGGAAAAGACTCTCTGTGTTGCTTTCCTAGCATGCAGCCTTCACACACAAACAGAGGTTTTCTCCAAATGAGGCAATCCATGAACCATTTCTTGATCTTCAAGCATTTTGATGCTTCTGTTATTTAGATGCCCCAAACGCTTATGCCATATCTGCATACAGTGTGTCACACTTGCTTTCAAGGCTATCTGATTTGCTGGCATCATTGTAAGAGGAAAACACCTGTTGTTTGTCATCTGCACTCTAACCACAAGATTATCCATTGACCAACCATCGAAGATACTCACAATATTTCCTCCAAACAATAGATAGTACCCGTGCTCCATCATCTGTCCAACACTTAGCAGATTCTCTTCAAGTCCAGGAACAAGCATCACTTCTTGAATGTGCTTTCTTCCCAATTTGGTCTCTATAACAAGAGTCCCCTTTCCTGCAACCTGAACAATCTCTCCAGTTCCCATCTTCACCCTGGAAGTCAGATTCCTTTGGATGTTGATTAGTAACCTTTCATCACCTGTCATGTGGTTACTACAACCACTATCAATGTACCATGAATGATTCACCTTCACATCTGTCATAGCATTGCATGCATAGAACAGGGTACCAGTTTCTTCAACATGGTTTACATAGTTCACATTCTGTATATTTTTGTTTCCATGGCAGTCTCTGATCACATGCCCAAGTTTCCCACAACCTGTGCATTTTGGCTTCCCTTCAAACCAACATTTGCCATAATGCAATTTATCACAGTGTCTACAAGATGTCTTGTTTCTATCATTAGAGACATTTGGTCTTTGAACAAAATATGGCTTATTATCCCACTTCTTTCCTTTGAATTTCCAGTTTTTCTGAAACTTTTGATTTCCAGAATAACCTATTCCCTTAGAGTTTTTACCTCCAACATTTAGACTAGCAAAAGCTCGTTCAGTAGAATTTTCAGCATGTCTATCCAATCTGAGTTCAAAACTTTTCAGAGAAGCAACTACCTCTTGAATCTCAAGAGTTTCAAGGTCCTTAGAATGTTCAATTACGGAGCAAATAGGATCATATGATCTAGGCAAACTAATCAACAATTTTTGCACAACTTTCTCTCTAGACAGATCCTCACCATAACTCTTCATTTGATTCATTATATCAAACAATCTAGTGAGATATACAGATAAGGATTCACTATCTTTCATGCGAGTATATTCAAATTCTCGACGCAAACCTTGCAATTTTACGCTCCTTACTTGCTTATCTCCTCTGAACTCTTGCTTCAGAATGTCCCAAGCACCCTTTGAGGTCTCTTCGTTCACAATTCTGGGGAAAATTTGGTCTGAGACAGCACCTTGGATCAACCCAAGTGCACGAGCATCCTTCATCAGGATTTCAGCTAACGTTGGCTTCTCCACTTCCGTGACCTCGATCTCTTCTATCTTCTTCTTCTCCTTCTTTGGATCTGAAGCATCGAACCCATTTTCAACGAGATCCCATAACCCATGAGATTTCAAAATGGTTTTCATTCGAATGCTCCAGAACTCATAATTTTCTCCATTGAAAACTGGTGTGCGAAGCTCAGCAGTGCCTGATCCTGCCATGTTAGACATCGGATTCAAGAAATCACACCACCTCGATCGTCATATGAGCTAGATTGCAGCTCGAATCAATTCCAGTTTTCTTTTCACAGATTTACGCCCAGTTTAGATAACCGAACCTGGCTCTGAAGCCATATTAGAGTTTGTGTTTTATGTGTTTTTCAATGGAGATCTCTATGTTGGAGGTTGAAGAACAAAACAGAGAAATGAGAGAGAAGAAGATTGAATGTGTCTCTTCGATTTCACTCTATATCCAAAAATACATTTGTAACCGTTATGTATGTAGAGGAAGGGAGATCCTTCACTCACCAATACACAACACAATCTCAACCATACATTGCTATCATCCTATGAGATGATGCCACTTGTCTTGTTATATCACTTAGATCCTATGCTAGAGAAGAGACCATTTGGACTATGATCCAATGGCTCAGATTACATCAGCAAGATAAAGCACATAAAAGGAAAATCAAAATTTGTAACTTTAGCTCCAAGATATTAGCTCAAGGGTTATATATCAACAGTAGGTGGAGAATTTTATAGTTCAAATATTCAATTGAGCGGGGCAGGGAAGAAGAAATTCCCAAATGTTAGGGAGGATTATCTGGTTCATAGCTTTTACGGGCAGAAGAAACTAACATTTGAAAGGAATGTTCATGGATCTTTTGGTTTGCCATATACTAGTCATTTACTTGAGGGTGGTATATTAACTGGTAGAAGAATGATGACAATGAGTGACCATGGTATTCTTTACCATCTTAGTAGCAAATATGATGAGCATAGGAAATTGGATGTTGCCTTCACTCGTGCAATGCACATGCCAAAACTGGACGATGGGTCTAGTGTTTTGGGTTTGTTATTGTTAACTCTCTGGAGAACTAATTTGATTTGGGAAGCTAGTACTACTTTGATGCCCATTGTAGAAGCTATATTTGCAATTCCACCTTGGATTGTAGATGAGGCTTTACGTTTCATACTCATCTCAATTGGTAAAACAAATTAGATTGTGGGAAATATTGTGTTGCGCAAAACTTGGGGGTTGCCAATTGAGAGGGCAGATTCTTGTCAACCGATAAGGCCGCTGGTATTAATACACAAATTTCCAAATAATACTACAAGCATGGTTTTTAATTTTGTGATTACTGCTGTGATTGGTGCCTTGTTTGCTGAGAAAGAAAGGAAACAAATTCATAGTGTTGGTGTACGGGTGGACTTTCTATGTAGGTGCTCAGTTCATGTGAGTAGTGTCATTATGCATCTGGACTCTAGGTGTGGCAATGAGCATAATACCTTGAGGTTTTTCTTGGACCCAGATTTGTGTGAAATTACTAAACCAAATATTTCTTGGAATTATTTGCTTGCTGGATATTTTGAGAGTAGAGGTACAAGTTAGGCTCTTTAAGTGGGTATTGAAATGTATGGAGTAGTGGTGTGCATAGTTGCATTGGGTATCCTTATGCATGCTGGAAATTCTGATTGTATGGTCAATATCATTGCTCAATTTTGGACAGGGTGTAATGTGGAGTTAATGTTTTCAGCAGTGAACTTTTGGTGGAAGCAGACTTATGGTTTTATTAGTTCAGTACATATGTTGTTGCTCGTTTACAAGGGAAAAACATATCAGTCCTCGTACTACTTGTGGAAGCATATTGCTGCAGCAAATTAATAGGAATGCTGCTGCTATATACTACTGGCTTATGTCGCTCATTGTCTCTAGATCAACCTATAGTAGTTGGATCCATTGCCAAATCATAATAAAAAAAAATGCTACTGGAATTTTCAAAGCTAAACCTTGAGGACAATGTTGATTTCTAAGGGAAGGGTAATGTTAGGATGCCAAGTGGCATCACTTAGTTAGCCAGGTGTCAATTGTAGAGTTGGATTTCTTTAGCCTGCAACCAGCTATATAAGCTGAGATATGTGCAAATGCAAAGGGTGAATGAATATTTGATTGTATTAGTGTTCTTGTTAGTATATCTTGCATTTGAGTAAAGGTTGAAGTGGGGTTCTATCAAAATGAGAGTTGAGTTGATGTACCGATATGAAAGTTTTGAGGCACAGTGGCAAGAAAGATGAGGTCTGGGATGCCAAATAAAAACTTCAGGATCTTAACTGATGACAAATCGGTGAGAACGATTTTGGCAAAAAAGGTCGGAAAGGGTTTGAAGCTGGAATCTGCGGATGCTGGAGTGAGTCAAAACGATGTTGTAGTCTGGTTGTCGGCCAACGACCAAGATTGATTATGGCAACCAGAGTCGTCGGAAGGCTAAAGCTTTTTTGGGTTCAGAGAGGACATCTTTGAGACCAAGGAGATTCATATGAGATTTAAGTGTAAATTGAAAATAAATTGGGAGATTGGGAAAGGAGGTGAGGAGGGAGACGGGGATAGCAGGAGCCAGACAGAGAAAAGGTGGGTCGAGAGTCTGAAACTATGGGGGAAGCATCTAGAGAAAAGACGGGTCGAGATGCTAAAACGATGTGGGAAGGAAGAATCTAGAAATGGAATAAAAGACCAAAGACTAAAGCAGGGGCAAAAGCGGAATTACACAGTAGAATAAACAGTGTCCACAGAAACATGGAAAGGGCAAAAATGGAAGAACATTGGAAAATGAACAGTGTTTCAAGCGTTTTTCTCTTTTAGTATATATATAATATAATTTGAGTTTTAGTATATATTGAATTTGCTCATCATGAGTCTAAATAGAGTTTGGGGTTTGGGGTTTAGGGCCAATTTTTAGAATGCTTAAGTAGTAGTAATCAAACTCAAAAGATGCTCGAGTGCATGAATTTTTTAACAATGCTCCACTTGAGGATCAAGCATTGTAAGTTAATGCTGCCTTATTGGATGGAAGCAATTAGTATTATAGAAATTCTGTTTTCATTGCACAAACTCCTCTCGTTGATGTCTGGAAAGATTTCGAGAAAACAGGAAGAAGAGTGTAAGAATGCGGGTTGGTGTATGTCCAAAACTAGCTCCCCCAATTTTCTTCTTTAATTTATATTTTGTTTATTTTGTTTTCATTGCTCTGAGCTTAATTATATATTAGGTATGGTTTAAAACTTTTTTTATTCATGCATGTGTTTCTTTCTTTCCTAGTTATTTATCTGTTGTATGAGGTTTCAATTATATTCACACGATATTTTAACGGACAAGGAATAGCTGAATAAATCAAATGGTAAAAGAAGAACATCTCTTTGGCAAAGAAGAAGAAAGAAGAGTGAAGTCCTGAGGAACAATGTGAAAAGTTGGGACATGTGGAACAAAGATACTTTTATGTGTATTACATCTATATGAACATCTTAATCTCCAAGTTTTTTGCTACGTAATGTATTCTACAGACACCTATCTTTTGTTCCTTATTGAACATAAGGATGTAAATACAGTTTGATATGGATGTAAATGGATTTTAATATATTCTACATGTTTAACATAGTTATAAAACTCACGGCATCGAGCATGCCCAATTGCTAGTTTATGATCTAAAGTTCTCCCTTGTGCAATCCAACCAATGCCATGTTTAGGATTTTACGTTGAACTACCTGTAAATTATATTATAAAGAAGATTTTGTTATGTAATCAGATCCATATTTCATTTTATCTAGCTATGTGTGATCAATAAAGGAGAGTTAAAGAAAAGAGTATAGGACCCTTAGAATTATTTTCTTTGGCTGGGCAAATATATGACCCTTAGAGATAAATAAAATGCATCGTGAAAGTCTAATCTGGGTCAAAAGAAAAACAAATAAACTTTTAGTCACTATCCTCAACATTAATCATTCGTTCATGAATTATGAGTGACTATTCTTACTTAGATTTTGTACAAAACATTATCAATCAGAAATATTCCGAAAGTGAAGTCCATCTGAATGTGTGCTCCAATTCTAACTAGTGGGAACTCAACTCTTCAATTAAAGCATTCAAATCAGAGTGTGACGATCCCCCTTTCTCAATAGCCCTCTTTGCCTGCTCTGCAAGTTCCCTAGCTCTGCTTCTCATTTCTTGTGCTTCCACACCCACCATAATCCTCCTGACAGCTTTCTCAACAGCTTCCTTCTTCACGCTATCCCCCACAACCCTAACCCATTTCTGAGCACCAACTCCGACACCAATTTTCAGCACTTGGGTCACCAGCTTCTCGTTGTAAAACTGCTCGGCCGCCACCGGCCACGTCACCATCGGCAACCCGGAAGCGATCCCTTCCAACGTCGAGTTCCACCCACAGTGAGTCACAAACCCGCCAACTGCCCCATGATCAAGAATCAGAACCTGCGGGGCCCACCCTCTTATGATTAGTCCTTTCCCTTCCATCCGATCCTCAAACCCTTCTGGCAGCCACTCCTCTTTCTCCATGTCATAACCTTGTCCGGTCCTCACAACCCACATGAAGTCCTGCCCAGAAGCCTCAAGCCCCATTGCAATCTCCTTAAGCTGAGAGGCATTGAATTTAGCCACGCTTCCAAAACATACATAAACAACCGAATTAGGTTCTTTTGACTCAAGCCACTTCAAGAAATCGTGCTCGTTGATGGAAGCTGCTTTTCCTCTAAGTGCTTTTTCTTCATTGTTTCTATTGCATAGAGAAACAGGGCCAATATGCCAAGCTTTCATCCCAAGCACGTTTCTGTAATAATCTGCATAAGCCGATTCGAGCTCATAGAAACTGTTCACAACAATTCCATAGCTCGTTTTCTCAGCTTCCTTGGCCCGTTTGACCATCCGGATCAAGTCGTTTTCGATATTTTCCTTGACATGATCAGGAACTTGGGCTCGTGTCATCGTAATCTCACCAGGAAAATCCGGAATCATGAAAGGGTCCGAATCCAACGAAGTGTTCTTGAACGGCTCATACTTTGTCACAATATCTGAGGCAGCCATGGCAAAGAAACTAGTGCCATGAAAAATTAGCCTTGGAATATCAAACTTTGCAGCAGCATCAGTTGCCCAATGAAAAAGAAAGTCTGCCACAAGGCAACTAGGGTTTTCGTGGAGCAGAAGATGCTCTAGAGGTTCTTGGAGAAGGCTTGTTGCTTTGTAAAAATTGGTCCTGAATTCTGGTGAGGGGAGTGAGTCGACATGCTCGCACCCTTCTGGCAGACCGGCTTCTACAGAAGGGAACTTGATGGTTTTGATTCTGACTTCGACGCCGCCGGAGCAGGTTTTACTTGATTGGGTGGCTTTGGATAATGTTGGGGCATTTAGAGGAGTGGTGACTATGGTGGTTTTTACTCCTTGGGATGCAAAGAGCTTGGCCATGTCGGAGATCGGTATCATGTGGCCGTGAGCCATGAAAGGAAAGAAACAGATGTGGAAATCACGATTTTCGCTACCCATGATTATTGGGATTTACGAATGAAGATGGATGACGTAATGTCTTAGGGCTGCGGTGGCGGTGGCGTTGTTTGTGATACATGAAAGCTCAAATATATAGAAGTGGAGTATGTGAAGATTTTGATTCTTCCCACTATTGACAGAAGGAGAAAAGTTTGTCCCTCTCAATTGTATACGTCAGCCGGTATGTCATGTACAACAACCATTGTTTTATTTTATTATTATTATTTTTTTTAACATATCATATTATCTAGACTAAAAGGGAGGTGGATGACCTTAACTTCACAGTGGACTAGTAATAATGTAGTTCAAAATCGCATTTGACAAGAACCCCACCTAAGACCTTGGTTAAGTAGAGTAATTTTTCAGTGTTGAAAATACTGCTGGGTAGTGAATGCCCACAGTACCTTGGAAGACTTTCCAATTCTCACACATAATGGGTTTTCAACTTTGGCATAAGTTTTCAATACCCATGAAAATGGGAATTGACTTTGGATGCAGGAGATCGTTTTTCTACATTGGATGTTGTAAATGTCAATTGTAATAATACGAGTTGCTCTATAAATAGAGCACTCGAATGCAATCAAAAGATACGAAAAATATATGAGAGAGACTCACGGAAGAGGAAAGAGAGGAAGAGTAGAGAGAAAGAGAGATTTATCTTTGTACTCTTATTTTCAGATTACAATGAAAGCATCACTGCTGCCCCGAGGATGTACTCCAGTCACACTGACTGTAGAGGAACCTCGTAAATTATGTGTCTTGTTTATTTATTCCACTGCACCCACCATCAATTTTACAACACGTTATCAGCACGAGAAGCTCGCATGTCAGTGGAAAGCACAACGTCATAAATCCGGTGAAGCATTATCTATCTCCTACCCCTGTCAGTTAAAATCTCACAAAATAAAAGGTATGTCCATTTTCTGTATCTCCCACCGCGCCAGAAGCGCCCCACCGAATTTCGGTGAGAATTGAAATTTACAACGACCTGAAGTCATCACGAGATAAGAAAACTCGTACCTGACAACTGGTTTCCAAAGATCCAGAAGAATCTCATTAGACTTGGAAACCCAGATCGCGTCATTTTCGACAGATCTCGAGAACTCCCATGAATACTCAGTTGTCTGAGATGGTGATGGCAAGAATGAATCCACACATGCCTCCCTTTCTTGTGCCTCCATCAACCCCGCTGTCATCTATGTCTTAGTATGGAGGTTCTTGCTTTATGATGCCATGTTCTCTGGGCCATGCAAGAACAACGCCAATCTCTGGTAGCCTTTCTAGATTGAATTGGTTTTGTGTGACCTTCTAGCTGGCCCTGGGTTTTGAGACTGGTAGAGACAGACAAAGAAAGAAAAAAGGGGAAGTTTATGGAATATGCATGGCACCATCTGAAAAAGTCAATAGTGCACAACACCATTTGAAAAAGAAAGAAACAAAAAGGTTTTGGTGCCTGGTGCATCTGCACCATCTAAATAATAAAATAAAAGAAAAATGATGGTGTGTCAGACACCATGTGGAAACTAAGAAAAAAAACCAAAAGGGTGAAGACTTTTTGGATGGTGTCGTACCATCTGAAAAGAAAGAAGAGAAAATATATATTTCTTTATGTGAATTGGTGTTGGTTTAAAATCCTTTCACAAGATCTATTTACTTTAAAGCAATTTTTTATCATGGACGGTTTTACCGCCTACTGCTTTAAGTTTTGATTTATGTGAATGGTGCTAAATTAAAGCCCTTATCACAAGCTTTATTTACTTAAATGTAATTTATTTACTATGGCTGTAATTACCGCCTATTGCTTTAATTTATTTATTGTACTTATCTTTTGTTACGATGAGTATAACAATGACCCAGAGTTCCTTGATTAGATCAGAACCTGCAGTTTCTTGATCCTCATCACATAAAATGATTGGACCCGAAGTTCCATCATGCAAAAAGATCAAACATGAAGTCCCTAGATCGGACATGAAGTTTCTTGATGAGTACCTTAAGTTTGAAGTGCCACAGTGCCTCAACTTAATTGTAATAAAAGCCATAAGAGTCTCAGTCTACAGACTATTAAGGACCAGAAGTTCCTTATGTCCATACTCAAAATGGTTTAGCAGAAGCATTTATTAAGCGGATGAAATTGATTACCCGCGCTCTGCTCATGAAAACGAAATTACCAGTTTTCTACATGGGGACATGTCATTTTATGACGCATTATTAAGTTCGGTTGAGACCAGTTTCCAACCATCAATATTTCTCAGTACAACTCGTGTTTGGGAACTAGCCAAACATTATACATTTACGAGTTTTTGGTTGTGTTATCTATGTGCCTATTGCACTGCCACAACGTACTGAAATGGGCATTGATGTTGAACATCATCTATCATTCAATATTTAGAACCCTTGATTGGGGATATGTTTACCGCGTGGTTTGCAGACTGTCATTTTGATAAGACAATTTTCCCGCCGTTAGGGGGAGAAAATATCGTTCCAAAAGAACGATGAGAAAATATCATTCCAGAAGAATGACGAGAAATGATTGTTCCAGAAGAACGAAGAGAATTTGTCTTATTTTGATTCACGAAGCAATCAATGAGAAAATGAAGTAAGAATAATTGAATGATGCAATGATGTGTCAATCAAATGCCAGATGCATTTAATGATGCAACGAAAGTGATGAAATCACATATACTTGTTGCAAATGTGCCTACAAGAATTGATATCCCTGTTTGGACAAAATAATGAGGCAGTAAATGAGTTATCTGTTGCACGCCTGAAGCGTGACAAACCCTCAGACTCAAAAAGGTTCAGTCATTCGAAAGAAGAAGAATATTACATTACTGAACTATTGAATTCCCGAAGCATAACTGTTGCATGCCAGAAGCATGATAGTTACCGCATGGATACACATCCAGAAAGGATAATCCGCGAACATGGGAATGTTGATGTCTCATGCATGAAGCATGATAGATGTATAGGTTCCAATGACTCAACTCCCAGAAATGGAGATTAAGATCCAAGCTCTATAACGCTCAATAAGAGGTTATGATCCGCATTCTCTAAATTACGACTATCCTGGAAGAGATAGTGTAATGCCCTTGAAGAAGCAATGGATATCCAAAGAAATAAAAAGCTTTTATGCATGTGCATGCACATGAGAATATGGGATCACAGATTGATGATAACCAATGGTAATTTTGGTTTTTACAAGTAGCTACTAAAATCATCAATGAGCTGTGTTGATATTGAGTCTTGTTCTTTTCAACGAAAAACAAAGATGGAGAAAGGCAATTCCATTACAATTTTGTAAGAACGTGGGAAAATGGACCTATATATTTGAATGTAATACAAATAGCCAAAAGATGTTGAACCAAGGAGGTTACATTGGGCATTTGTAATACAGTGAATTACACTCACATGATATGACACAAGGTTGTAAACGAGTTCATATGAATGGAGAATTATATACGAAGGGTTGTGAGTCGCCCACATCATATCTCCATAAGTAAATCCCTCAATTATACATGGGAGCAAATTGCTCTGTATAAATTCCAAAGAAAATGTGTCATGAAGTGTAGAAAATCCCCGAAGGATTCAACTTGCTTGAAGTAAGCCCCCGAAGGGTAAAGCATAAATATGTACTCAATACCAATGGATGGTATAATTGCCTTAGTGAGTACTATCATTATGATATTGTTGCAACATACTAAAATCTCTTGCAAGAATCGATGACATTAACTCCTGAAGAGTTGATGATGTTAAATTGGGACTCCTGAAGAGTCAATAAAGTGTTGAGAGAAATATTGTCTCGAACTGTAGATCGAACAATATGCCAACACGAATCTTATCCATGATGTTTATAAAAGAACCATATGAATTGAAGATTATGAGTTGAACACTCAAATGATGTAGACACTAAGAAAGATCATTTATCTTCGTGAGGGTAAAGATAAATTGATATTTGGTCCAGAAGTACCACATCTTAAGTGAAGTATATGCTTTATTGTATTTAACACAATACATTGAATGAAATAAAGCTTATCTATTGATATATCCGATGAATTACAGACATGTACATACACATGAAAACATGAGGGAGCCTTCACAAAAATTGCTCATGTGAAGCCCCAGTACTCAGAAGTACCCCAGAAGGGGGAGGCACCAGAGGTTGATTATTTGGAACCTCAGTACTTGGTGAAACTCCAGACGGTTGAGACAATGGGTGTCTTTGGAATAAAGACTTGAACCCTTGATTGTCATTTTGAGTCCGACCTTCGGATTCCAGTAGCTGGTCGAGCTTTCTTTTCATGCTCGTTGAGTAATTATTTGCGAGCATGTGTAACACTCTATTCTCGTGCTTGAGCCCTCTGATCTCTTGTTTAAAACTTGCCACCTCAGCCATCAATGATTCAACTTGGTGAGTTCGAGCAAGTAGGCATTGGCCCATATTAGAGACAGAGCTCGCACATTGAATACTGAGAGCCAAAGAGTCTTGAATGGCAACCTCATCAGATCGGTTTGAAAGGATTCTGTTATCCTTAGGAGTGAGAAGATTCCTAGCTACCACTGTAGCGGTTAGGTCATTCTTCATCACAGAGTCCCCAACCGTAAGAGGACCATTTGAAGATAAGAAAGACGGGCGCCATATATTATCGTGATGCGGCTCGCCTGTATTAGTCCTAAGACTCAAATCTAAGCAAATGTTAGATGGGCAAGCCATTTTCAGAAATTGATGAAAGAAAAAGGTTGGATATAGTGAAATCTCAAAAATACAGCAGAGACAATTTTCACAAGTGGGAAATCTTCAAAGTGTGCAAATTTGAATACAATCAATACCTCTATAAAAGAAGAGGCAACAGAGCCACTTCTTCAGAGATCGAAGAAGCACAGCTCTCTGAATTTCAAAAGCCAGATTTTCCTGAATAAATTTTTTCAGACGCAATCTCAGCTTTTGGATATCACGTACAACTTTGTCAAAGATCTCTGATAAAGTTGAAAACGCGTGAATTTCACTATTCCAACTATAACACTGTTGCCGACAAGCGTTATTTAGAAATGTAATTTGTGCAATTTTTGTTGGAATATCACCCTGAAAT